CCCAGCAGGTTGAGGCTGTGGTGGCAGGGAGCGGCCACTGCACTCCAGTCTGGGCGACAGTGAGACTCCAGCTCAAAAAAAAAAAAGTCAGAATGCAATCCTTCCGCCTCAGCCTTCCAAGTAGCTGGAACTACAGGCATGCTCCCACGCCCGGCTAATTTTTGATTTATTGTAGAGACGAGGTCTCGCCAAGTTGCCTGGGCGGGTCTCGAACCCTCGGGCTCAGGCAATCCACTCGCCTGGGCCTCCCAACGTGCTGGGATTGCAGGCTATTCACCAGCCTTTACGGGCTCAGAAATTGTGTTGTTTGTAGACCCAGAAGGGATAGGGTTCCAGAAGACTGATACACAGTGACCAAATTCACAATGGATTTATACAAGCAAGAGAGTCAGAATGCTGTTTCCAGAAAAAGCTATCATCCACACCAGACATGCTTCCTAACCAGTAAATTCTTACCTTGAAGCCAAATGATAGTCTGAAAGTCGTCGGGTGAGCTACAGCTCTGATGAACCTTGTTAGTAAGCTCAGAATTCAAGAATTGATAACAGCGTACTTCATCTTTAGAAATCTGTTAAAGCTGTAAATCATCCTTTCCCCAGGAAACCAACAAGTAGCACACTAAGTTGAGCATTAAGACAATGTTTTAACACATATCCAGATATATCTACAAAAAGTAACAAACATTTCTGGAAACAATGCCATGGAAAGTGACTCTGATATATTTGTATTCTATTTCCTTTTTTGTTCAGTTGGAGTCTCAGTCGGTCGCCCAGGCTGGAGTGCAGTGGCACGCTCCCAGCCACCACAGCCTCCCCCTGCTAGGCTCCGGTGATCCTTCCGCCTCAGCATTTCAAGTAGATGGAACCACAGGTGCACCACCACACCCGGCTATTGATTTTCTTTTATTGTAGAGACGAGGTCTCGCCAAGTTGCCTGGGTTGGTCTCGAACTCACAGGCTCAGGCAATCCACTCCCCTCAGCCTCCCAAAGTGCTGAGCCCAGGAGCCCGGCCTCCTTACATATGTTAATATTCTCTCAGGGAGAGTAGTTGCTAGCCTGGTCCAGAAGTGTCCAGTCTCTGAAGTGACTGCCTATCTCTACTTGGATCTGTTGCTTGTTTTATATTTTAACCCCCTGAAGTGCAGACTTTTGTTCTTTTGAGTCAGGGCACAATCACGGCTCACCACAGCCTCAGCCTCCCGGGTTCAGATGATCCTTCGACCTCAGCCTCTGAGGAGCTGGGACTACAGGTGTACACCACCACTCCCTGCTAATTTTTTTTTTGAGTTGGAGTCTCACTCTGTTGCCCAGACCGAAGTGCAATGGCACGCTCCCGGCCATGGCAACCTCGACGTGCTGGGCTCCAGCGATCCTTCTGCCTCAGCCTTTCAAGTAGCCGGAACTACAGGCACGCGCTACCACATTCGGCTAATTTTTTATTTATTTTAGAGTTGAGGTCTTGCCAAGTTGCCCAGGCAGGTCTTGAACCCGTGGACTCAGGTAATCCAGTCGCCTCAGCCTCCCTCCAGTTGCTGAGCCACCGATCCCGGCCTAATTTTTTAATATTTTAGAGACAGGGCTCTCCATGTTGAGTAGGCTGGTCTTGAACTCCTGACCTCAAGCGATCCTCTGGTCTCAGCCTACCAAAATGGTGGAATTACAGGCAAGAGCCACTGCGCCTGTCCCTTTGAGTGCAGACTTACATGTCCATCTCTGAGTTCTTGAGACGTGGGAGGGAGCCTTAGTTTGCCCCTCCATCGAGCTTCCATCAGTTTGGAGGGCAGAGCGAATAGAGTAGACCCAGGCACAGATAACCCTTTTTTGAGTCAGAGTCTCACTCTGTCACCCAGGTTGGAATGCAGTGGCATGCTCACTCACGGCCACCGCAGCCCTGACCTGCTGGGCTCAGGTGATCCTCCCAGCCCAGCCTTCCAAGTAGCTGGAACTACAAGCATAAGCCACCACGCCCGGCTGATTTTTTGACTGATTGCAGAGATGAGGTCTCACCAAGTTGCTCAGGCTGGTCTCAAACCCCTGAGCTCAGGCAATCCTCTTGTCTCCACCTCCCAGAGGGCTGAGATGACAGGCGTGAGCCATCCTGCCCGGCTAGAAACTGCACTTTGAAACAGTTGATTCCTGGCGTTTTGGAAACCCTCTCCCTCGCTTAGGCTCCGCCCCATCGGCACCCATCCTCCTATCCGTGGTTTCAGCCTCCCCTCGAGTGGGGGCTGGGCCAGTCAGCTCCTCCTCCACCGATTCTGGGAGGTCTCGAACCGTGGACTCAGGCAATCCAGTCTCTCCTCTCTCTCTTCCTCCCTAGCGCCCTGTAATAGGAGTAACCCCCTCGGGTCCCCTCCCACCGTGGGAGCTTTTCTGTCCCCTGAATAAATCCTACTTTCTCAAAAAAGAAAGAAAAAATAAATAGATAAAAGTAAAAGAAATAAAATAAGTAAATTTTTAAAATACATATATTTAAAAAATAATTTTTAGCCGGGCTCGGTGGCTCAGCCTGTAATCCCGCGCCTTTGGGAGGCTGAGGTGAGTGGGT